AGGCCCTGACAGCCCGAAGTGGCAGCCACACGAGGGCAATCAGCGCAGACGGAGGAGAGAGCGACCAATCGTATCGGCTAAGTGTGGCTTGATGAATGCATCAGGTGCAGCCCGCCCACGCGCAGACCGCGCATTCGCCCGTGTACGCGCATTTTCAAGGATTGGGGCCAGGTATGGGCAACTAAAGGATTTCAAGGATATGGGCCACTAAGGCAGGCACAGACATGAAATATTCTACACGGTGCAGGCGAAGGTACCGTCAACAAATGGCGACTTGACTTCAACACTGCGGGAGCATTCGAATTGGAGGCGCCCAATGGTAATCGGAAACAGACAGACATACTTCGGCAGTCCGCAGTACGACCCACTCGTTTGGAACGGTCAATTTCTTAACACTTTAGTCCTTGCTACCACGAGATCAAGATCAGATTTGCCATTAGGACAATAGCTTTATTTTACGTTTACATCGGATGGTGTTGTCTCATGAATCGTAACTAGAATTACAGTAATAACAACATATACTAAGTATGGCTCAAGCACACAAGATGTGTTTTCAATGTCTGTGGACATGGTCGGGATATAAGGTTTATCGGCGGAGCTTTTTCAAGCAAGGAATCTCAACAGCTTCGTTTTTCGACGGCCGCTTCAGTCTAGTTAGGTCACCTCAGTAGTTCACGGCGCGCGTAAATATTCAGAGAGGCAAACAACGCACCGAGTATCTCCTGCAAAGCCTGATTTCAACATTTTGGTTCGTACTTTTCACCCTATGTCCCAACAAGCTTGACGAAAGGCAGTCAATGTACTCTTAAAATGATGAAGCTAACTCATCATATTCACGAACCGATCTATCGAACCACGTGACCGGACTGCCTGACTGAACTCCGCTAGGGACGTTTGAATGCGACATATTTACAGATTCCACACTTGCACTTGTCATCTAACCCTTGATACCCAGTCACTTAACAAAGTGAAAATCGATTATTGTCATTCCGCCTTTTCATGGTGGATGAATAGCGCGGCGGCTGACATATTGTTACATTCAAATGGCGGATATACTTCCTAGAGGCGTCCAGCCGCCGTCACCCCGCGAAAAGCCCGGCAATTTTCCGGGTGGTCAGGACGGTCACTTACCGGAATTCTGCACGTGCCACGACCCCCTGCCGGCGCAGATCAAAGCGCCGCCCTCCATCAGTGGCGTTCGCCCTCGGCTATTAATGCGCCGACGATCGTCTGTCCACTGCCATCCCTTATGACAATGACAAATTTCCGCGCCAGTCTTTGTGTTTTATGGAACGCCGGCATTCTGACTTTGCCGGGCGCCGGCCATTAGCCCGCCTAATTGATTAGCGCCCAGCTTCAAAGGTGCCGCCGCCACCGCCAGGCCGACGATGTTGGTTTACTCAGCACGACTTGATTGGTGGCTGTTTGTGCTCCGGCTCCAGGCTTCGCGCAGCGCTGTGTTGTTCCGGTGCGAATGGCTGATTGAGCCGCAATGGCCGCCGGAACCAACGCCGTGGGGGCGCTACGGTCGCCCCCATTGCGCCGGTATCGCGGCATCGTTAAGGCCCGGGAATGCAGGCGAGGCTCGCTTGACGTCGGCGGGGGTGCTCGCGCCTGACCGAACAAAGCCGGGCCGAGGATGGGAGCCCGTCGCCATCAGTTCGCACCCGTGGTGGCTCATCCCACTCATTGCGGAGGTGATAATGAATGGTTGGAACATAATGGCGTCAAAAGATTTGCAACGCTAGCTAGGGTACAGTGCAAAAGAATTACGAAACTCGAAGAAATTTCGCCCGATCAATTCATTTCAAAGAGTCATTGGTGGCTCCATGACGAAGAGGTAACATCAATTTCCCAGCAAAAGGTGATTGTGCTGAGGATGAGGGCATTTCAGGTGCACCATTGTCACAAAAAATGCCGCGCGTGATGAAAATTATCAACGCCAGTGCATGTGGGGGGGGGGGGGGGGGAGGTGGCTGGATGCTCTCTTCTACTGGTGTTGTCGACCTTACTTAGCTTATGCCTACACACTTGTGTACTTGGCTGTTTTAAAAAAAATTGCCCGAATGAAACGCACATGCCCAGACATTCTTTTCCGGGCACACTGCATCACGAAGCTATTGCTAAGAGATGCTAATTGCTAAGATGCATTGGGATATCTTTGCGTATACATCCTTAGTCAGCGGCTCACTCGTGATGCGAGGATATCTGACCATGGTCCTGCGATCTACGCGCCTTCCAGATAAGCATCTAAATGTGACATCAGTTGCTTTAGTTAGTTCTCTTTACCTGTAGTTTTTGGCCTAAACCTCTGGCCCAGTGCAAAATTACATTTACCGTTGTGTGATGTAGCCTAGCCTGCATGTGCAAAATGTTGATAATCTTATCCCCATTGACAGCCAACAGTAAAAAAGGCTTTTTGTATAACAAGGATATGTCTAGATTGGTATTTACAACACATATAGGCCATATCCCGAGAAAAAAACACGTAACAGCGGTAAATATTTACAAGTTAATGTTACAAATTGGCTTGTAAACTCAGCCACATCGGTAGTTACGTACCAGAGCATTTTTAATCCCAAAAGCGGAGATATCTATGGGCATGCCAGCGCTGTATGTCATGCAGATAAAAAACTTCATTGAGGCCTAGAGAAGTAGTATAATGAGGAATGTGCCATCTACCCGGTTTGTGTGCCGCATATGTGGCACAGCACACGGATGAGGCTGTGAGCAGGCGCAAGCTCGACCCCATCGTTTATCATGGGACTCAGACCATGGCTCACTGCGTATTTTTCTTGCATTAACAAGTTCATCTTGTAGGTCATAAGAAATGTTAAGATCATAATTCAATTCTTGACACGTTTCTTATTAAGCAACGTGTGGTCGTGTGGTCGTTCTTGACAACGTATCAAGCAATGCATTTTAAAGTTAAGCTTGTTTCGTTGATCGTGTTTAGGAGATTTCTTTTTCTTTGCTTCCTAAGACATCTATGAGTATATTTCATTAGGGCTTACGTCCGTATTAAGGTTTTCACTGTGCCAGTAAGTGTTAATTTAAGTAGGTTTATGAGCTGCAGGTGCAGCAAGCGGTGAGATAGAATCAAGCGATTTTTTACCAACCCAACGTTAACAGCCTTCAGAAGTGCATGCGTTGGACAACAGAAACCTCACTTTGCCGCTGCATAGTTAGGCTGAATTATTTCTTCCTATCGTGGGATGTAATGGGGCCGTGCCATGGCGAAAATTCTCTTCCACCACATACAAGAACACGCCATATTTACATTATGATTGTGCTTGCAATTTCGGTAAAAGCCTATGCATAGCCTTAAATGCGATGTCTCACAGCCTCACCGGGGATAGCTGTGCCAAGGGTCTCCAAAGTCGTTCAAACCCTATACTAGATTCCTGCTGAAAGCCAAAGACTTTTACTGCTACGTAAGAGCCTTACTTCATTATCAGATGGGCGTTCGCATTCAGACGTTCCTGCTAGATAATTGTCATCTTTTTCTCGCAAGCGCGGAGCCACATGGCCAAACACCTCATCAGATCACTCTGGGGTCATGCGGAAAGACATACAAAGCTCCCCAGATTTGTTCCATTTTCTCCCAGCATTGATGCATATTTTCCTCTGGTGCTTCGAAGCTTCAGCGATCCACACACCCAAACACAGCGCACAGGAGGTGGCGAATCGCTTTGAAGCCCAGGCGCTGGTAAACAAGATCATTCCGCGTCATATGCCTGTCGAGTGAAGTCTTCATTTCTGAAGCACAGCGACCATTTTGCGACCATTTTGCCGTCTTCCCGTGAAAGAAATCCCGAAAGAATCCGGAAGGAATCCGCACACCGCCGACATTTGTCACAACAGCCATCCCTTTTTAATGAAAATATGCGCACGTGACGCCTGCGGCGGGGCAGTGCGCCCGAGCCGTCCGTCTGTGGGCCCCGTGCGGCGCGGGCGGTCGGCCGGCAGGGCCGCGGGCGGGCCGCGGGCGGGCGGCCGCCACCGCACGCCGAGCCGCCAGACGGCTCCATTAGAGGCGGCCGGCCAGCGACGGCCTGTTTTCGGCGCGGTCCAGACGGGGGACGGACGCGTGACCGTTGCCCGGTCGCGCCGCGCCTCGGGTGGTAGGCGGCGGCCAATTGCGGCCGGTGATCCATCATCTGCCACCGCAGCCGGATGATGTCTTTGTCGCAGCTCGGACGGGCCGCGGCGGCCGTGGGTGGTCAATGGGCGGCCTCATCGAGCGCCTCAGTGCGCCGGACCCGCCTCATCATGGGACAATTTCGGCCGGGATTGTGGGCGGCTAGCGGTGGGCGCGAGAGCGCGCGACCCGCCGCTATCGGCGCTGGCCGTCGCGTCATCTATTATTGGTGGTCGGGCCGGGCCGGGCCGGCCGCGTGTGGCCGTATTGGTGGTCGGGCCGGGCCGGGCCGGCCGCGTGTGGCTAATGGAGTTGTAAGTCGCAAGCGCCACCCCCGCTGATCGCGCTGCGACCACACGGCACGCCGGCCCGACCGGCCCTGCAGGTCCGGCCAGTTCTGGAGACCCGACAGGCTCCGGAGGCCCGGCCAGCTAAGGAGGCCCGACCAGCTCCTGAGGTTCGACCGACCCTGGAGGCCCGACCAGCTCCTGAGGTTCGACCGGCCCTGGAGGCCCGGCCAGCTCCTGAGGTTCGACCGGCCCTGGAGGCCCGACCAGCTCCTGAGGTTCGACCGGCCCTGGAGGCCCGGCCAGCTCCTGAAGTTCGACCGACTCTGGAGGCCCGACCGGCTCCGGAAGTCCGACCAGCTCTGAAGGCTCAGCGGCTCTGGAGTTACAGCGGCCCTGGAGGCCCGACCGGCTCTGGAGGCCCGACCAGTTCCGGAAGACTGACTGACTCCAAAGGCCCGACGGGATCTGGAGGCCCCGGAGGCCCGACCGGCTCCGGAGGCCCGACCGGCTCTGGGGGCTCGGCGGCTCTGGAGGCCCGACCGGCCGGCGGGAGTCGCTCGGCGACTGACATGACCTCCCGGCTGCTATGGTGAGCTGAGCAAACGCAGCGCTGCTGTGATGGCTCTGTTAAGTTTATGGCTGCGGTTGGATCCGGTAAAGCGGTATGCCTTGTTAGACTCGTTCGCTAATTGAGCATTCATTCAGAAGGCTGACGACCTATGCTAGGACTGGATATTCAACGTGGTGTAGACTACGTTTCTACGTGTTTCGGGCTAGTGCAGACGGAATGAGCTGGCACGGTGATTGGGTGCGTGCATAGGTGTACCACCACGTCTCTGAGATTGGGAGGAGCAAATCAGATTTTGGGGGGAGTAAATGAGAATCTGGGGGAACGCAAGCTTGACCCGACATTTTAAATTGGAAAATGGGAAAAACGTGCATTCTATGGGCAAAACTGGAGAGGACAAAAGCCTCTTCTGTTGAAATTGGGAAACACGCACTGGCTACACCCAGGTATTGTTATTTCGCATTGTTAGAGAAAGAGTTGATGCAAAACAGACAATCAATCCTGCTATATTTCACTTACTTCAAGCGTTAAAATGGTTTGGTCTGAGTTGCCTAGGAGACTTTCGCCACTCCAGTGGAAGCCCAGCAGCTCGCGCGGAGCCCCCCCCCCCCCCCCCCCCCCCCCCCAGCAGTGACAATCAGCGCTGACAAGCTGCTGATTGCCACGAGCTCGGCTGGCTTGCCGGAGGCGCAGCGGCAGCAGCGGCTCCCAAACCGGCCGGCTGGAGGTGCTGAGGCGGCGGCGGTTCTCAAATCGGCCGTCGTCATGCGGAGCCGCCTGCCCCCGGTAGCGTCTCATGCACTCTAGTGCCCCCATGCCATCACGCTGCCTCCCTCCCCCTCGCCCCACTTCCTACCGCTTTAAAACACTGACATTGATTTGTGACAATCGGCTGTGTTTGTGTATAATAGTGCACTGCAATCTGTATGATCCTGTGCTGATGGTTCGACTGGTGGGCAGAAAAACCAGCTGGGAGAACGATCTCACGACGAGCTGTACATAAGCTGAGTGCGTTCTGTACGGGCTAGAGGGGAGACAGGAGAAGTACACTGGGTAATAGCATGGTCAGCCGGCTCTGGGTGGCGTTATCGTGAAGGCGAAGATGTGATCCCAGACAACTCTGAAAGAAGGCGCTCCGCTCACGGCATCTCGTGGAGCAAATTAACCAAAGTGCCCTCTGTCGCCTCAATCATCAGCCGACATTGGTGCCGCTGTCCCGGCGGATAATCTGGATTGCCGGTGCTCTTGTTTTGGCGGATAACACAGACTCCCGGTGCCCCTGTCTGGGCGGATAACACAGACTCTCGGTGCTCCTGTTCCGGTGGATAATCCAGATTCCCGGTGCTCCTGTTCCGGTGGATAACAGACTGCCGGTGCCCCTGTCCCGGTGGATAACACAGACTGCCGGTGCCCCTGTCCCGGCGGATAACACAGACTCCCGGTGCTCCTGTCCCGGCGGATAACACAGACTCCCGGTGCTCCTGTCCCGGCGGATAACACAGACCGCCGGTGCCCCTGTCCCGGCGGATAACACAGACCCCCGGTGCCCCTGTCCCGGCGGATAACCAGACTACCGGTGCCCCTGTCCCGGCGGATAACACAGACTCCCGGTGCTCCTGTCCCGGCGGATAACACAGACCCCCGGTGCCCCTGTCCCGGCGGATAACACAGACTACCGGTGCTCCTGTCCCGGCGGATAACACGGACTCCCGGCCCCGCGCCATGGTATATCCCGCCAAGCTTATCGTGAACAGTCCTTGAACGCTCCTGTGGTTACTGGTCGTCCCAACGGAGGTCAAAAGGCTGGAGTCCACAGACTGTCGTAAATGCAGTCGCAGGTAGCGAGGTAATTAATTCATACGACCATGGTGGCCAGTGTCCCGCATTAAGCAGCCTTCCAAAACTACGGAATGAGCCGCCCGCCGGAAGGAGTTCCAAAAATGTTTCTACTACGCTCTCTATCGCTTCTTGGAGGCTCCACGCCCTTGCAAACTGCAAGAAGCAAACACTTAATTGAAATTCGGAAGCCTTCAGCTAAAATAAAGTGACCGACAGCGTTGTTGCGTATATCACTGCTTTAACCGCTGAGACCACAGCAAGGTGGCAGAGGATGGCCGGGCTAAGGGGAGGTTCGAAACGTTCCTCAACCTTAAGGAGCGCTTCTAAACTTAAGCATAACTTAAAACATTCGTGGTGCGAATGAAGGTAGCGCCAAAACACCGCTTACTGCGTAAAATGGAAATGAGAATTGGCCATCGCAGTGGAGTGTATACTCATGCAAAAGTTTCGGCCCTTTCACAAAATCATCTGTCAGTTAAACACAACTGTAAACAGAGTTCAACATATGCTGCCATCACATGATGCCGCAGAAGCGAGACCGGCTGTCGATAAGCCAAATAACACCACTCCATGCGTAGGCACGCCAAAGCCGTGACGATTTTACAGCTGAGCTAAACAGACGAAGCACCGCGATGCTTCCCCATCACAACAGCGGCCCATTAACTGCTGGGCTTCGCTGGCTGACAAACGGACGGCGCTAAATCGCATCATTTTCGCGTCATTAGTTTGGCTGCCTGCGACCCGGGCTTATTCTCAGCCGTTGGTAACGTGCCAACTCATGCAGACGCCCCCACCGTGAATTGGCCAATCAAACAAAAGATCCCGGGGGATAGGCGCGCTGCCATATTTCATGCATAATTTCCATTTTATCAGGTGCATGATTGAGTGGCTCTATCTTGCCGGCCTGTGGACGCTCGGGCCGTTTATCCTGTTGTAATCTCGGCCGTCCCCGGAGACCTATTTCGTCGGCCGGGACGCATCTGGGCATGATGCTGTAATACAGCCAGCAATTACCATAGATATAGAGGACGGCCCAGTTTATAAGCGATCAGTATCTAGATTGGCCGACGGCGCGGCGGCGCGCCATTTCACGGCGACAGCAGGACGGCGCGGAGACGGAGACGGCACGGACCGCTGAGCAGACGGCGCGATGACCTCAGATGACCTATTCCTATCTCAACTGGGCGGAACTGAACTGAGCCGAGCTAACGCAGCCCGGGGAGATGGCTGAAGATGGCTGGCCACAGAGGAGCTGACCCGAGCCGGTTTGGTCTGGCCTACCCTATCTGAGCTAGCCTTATCTGAGCTAACCTTGTGGGAGCTAACCTGAGCTGAGCTTAGCTCAGCTAGCCTGACATGATCTGAGCCGTACTGAGCTGACCTAGGCTGACTTGGCCCAACTGGATTTCAGATATACTGGCCAGGTCGGACTTGACCTGGTCTAACCTCACCTCAGATGACCTGACCTGATATTACCCAGCTAAATTAGATATGTGTGTCACCTCTGGAGCGGTCGCCACGGCCGGTCTACATCTGGAGCCGTCGCCCTGCGGGTGGGGCGGTGAGGGAATGCGTTCGGGTGGTGCAATGAATGACATCAAATCGAAGCAGGGACAATGCGATCTTTAACGACTTTTAAAACACATCATCGCGTGAGTCTAGCCCAGTATAATAACCTGTCCTTATGACCAGCTTGAGCTTAACGCCTCGCCAACTGATGCAACACGTCCGCTTCAGAACTAACATAAGTTGTGCACCTGTCACCGTCGCGCGTGGGATCCGCAAGACAGGCATCCACGCACCCCATAACTTACGCCGGAAAGTACCAGCACCGTGCGTCCACACTTGACCGGCCCGGCTCCTCGCGACATTCGAAACCGCTTCCGGCCCTCGACGCGAATCGGCCGGCGTCGGCGGCAGTCGGGTCTTTGGGGCGCTCCTCCAGCTCCCGCCCCTCAGCCTGTCGCTGCCGCTTTGTGTCGCATTCGCCGGCGCGCGTCCGCGTGGAGGAGACGCCAAACAAAGGCTGATAATCCGGCCGAAACACGGCGCGCTGACGGGCGGCGCCGCCAGCGCCACCGGCATCAAAGCGGCGAGCGTGTGTGACTCGGCGCGTCATGGTGCCGGCACCGGATTAGGCGCGGCCGGGCCGGCGCTGAGCGGCGTATCGGTGCAGCAGCGGCCCGCAATGACAGGGCGCGGCCGGCTTATGTCGGCGCCGTGATGGATGGTGGGCCAGCCGGGCGGTCCGACCTCACGGTCAGATTAGCACGGGGCCGGCCACCCGGGCCCCGCGCCGGGGACGGACAGGCCGGGCAGTCGGTGACGCCCCATCGGAAGCACCCCGCTTGGGAGCGGTGACGGGCCGGCAACGGGGCCGGCCTGCCTCAGATCCGGCTCCAGCGGGGCCGGCCTGCCTCAGATCCGGCTCCAGCGGGGCCGGCCGGCCTCAGATCCGACGACAGCGGAGGTGACCGGCCTCGGATCCGGATCCGGAGGTGATCGGCCTCGGACCCGGTGCTACTGGAGGCAGCCAGCCCCGGATCCGGATCCGGAGGTGACCGGCCCCAGATCTGGATTCAGAAGTGAGCGGCCCTGGATCCGGCGCTAGAGGGGTTACCAGCCTGAAGCCATCTCACGCTGATTACTGCTCCAGGCGCCCGCTCTGACGCCATGTATAGAGCTGGCTGGCGGGTGGCTGGTAAGGGACTGCAGCAGCGAACGGTGACGCGCATGCATGTGCGGGCCAATGATTCCTGCAGTGGTGATCACAGAGCACACATGGATAAAGACGTGCAGTTGCGATGACCCGGCTTTCGGACAGGCCAAAAAGTGTGGTCGAGAGTGATGAAGTGATAGTTGTGGAATCCGCAGGCTTCGAGGCTCCATGTTTAGACATCCGCCGATGCCGATCAGCACCGGTGCATGCAAACATGGATGAGTATATAATTATGGCACAATTTACAGCGCACCTTTCTGACTCGGTAACTGATTTACAGAGGTATTGTTTTTCTTGCGCCATTTGACACTACTCACGAACAAAAGGTGATTTTTTACACCCTCTCGGACGAGTGGCCAGTGAGTTTGCACAACAAAACAACGGTTTAATCACTTGACTTTTGGGTATTCCCTACGTTTGTCTAGACCCTCTTACATTCCAGTGAGTAATTATCGAGCCCTCA